CCACCTCATTGTTGTCCACAGACTCCAGCCCACTTCCTCCCTTGCCCCTTCCACTAGTTACTAGTATCAAGGACAAGACAAATAGGGGAATGGGGGACCACATGGGTAATAATAGTACACTTCAGTGAGATTGATAGTAATAAAGTGTAGTAAACGTCTCAGCTGTGACAATTAGATAGTTCATAAAGTGCAAGAGTCTTAGAGTGCAAATACAGTAGGCGTCACAGTTGCGTGCCACTAGGGCAACTCATAAAGTGCAAGGATCTTAAAGTGCAGCAACATCCAAGTCTGGCTCTGACGCTATCTAAAGTGCGGCATGGAGGGAAAGGGAGAGGGAGCGTAAATGCTAGTTCGATTTGGCAGCAGGAGAGGCAGGCGCCTTAAAGTGCTATACTGAGTTCTTAGTACCAGTTAGCAACAGAGTAGACAAGGAACAATAAAGTGTTATATTAAGCAAGATGTAAACACAGCATTAACGAGTTGGCAATAATATCCGTTGGTAAAGTTTATCACACTAAATATGCCCAGTTTCCTAAGCTATTGCTCTTTGGGTATGGCTTCCAGATCTTTGATTGTCATAGTTACCCTTCTTTGGCAATGTTTCATCTTATAATTTTGTTCCTGAATGGTGATGCCCAGACCAAAGCAGAATATAATGCAGTGGTTTCCAACCTGTGGTCCATGGACCACCAGTGGTCCCCATAGAACTAAAATACGGTCTGCAGCCTCACTGTTACTACACCGTTGCAACAAGAGTGACTGATCTCGCGAAGCTCTCTTATAGTGCCGAGGCAATTGAGATGTCAGGAGAAGAGAGGCAAACTACGCACGAAAGGCGCAACAACAAGCCTCCTGACTGCTTCAGCACCAAAAATCAGCACCCCAAATAACCAAACAAATGCTAAAGTTGACCAAAAACTGATTCATTAACCTTTTGGTACTAATGTTGGAGAGTGGTCCCTGATCAAGTGGTCACTGGTCAAAAAAAGATTGGGAACCACTGATATAATGATACCATGACTTCCTTTGATTTGGACACAATAGTCCTGTTGATGCAGCCTAGGTGTCACCCAACCTTTATTACAGAAATATATACACATTTCTTATCATGGCAGCTTTGGAGCAAAATATGTTAAATAGACAAGACACAGAAGTAGATCTGATTGTCATGCAGGTAGTACATAAATCTATGCCAGCATAAATAAGAAAGACCTAAGGTAGCACATTTCTCCTAACTTCCACAAGAGCAGCCAGGGAGCCTTCAGGTATGGCTCCATTCTGCCAGCCATGTTCTGGACAAAGAAAGAGCAGCCTCTACACCATTGTCCTCAAACCTTTTAAGCAGACACTCCCCCTGACTGTTGGGGGTGGGCAGGCTAGAGTTTGAAAAAAAAATGAACGAATGCACATATCTTATTTGTTGTGCAAAAAAACCCATGAAAGAACAATACAATATTGAAAATGGAGAACAGTTTTAACCAACACAAACTTACCAATGGTTTACATCAATTAGTAGTATGAATTAAGTCCGAATAATCCAAAATTATTCTAAATTTCTAAAATCCCCCCAATGCCCATGCTGTTGTACACTAGCATAATCACAAACTAATAAATTAAAATAGCATCAATTATTTATTTGTTACTAACAGCCTTAATATCCTTGACATTTATTATTAAAATAATAATTAATTTCATTATGGAAAACTATCAAACAAAGGGCAAAAAGTTATTCTTAAAAGATTTCCATACTTTCTCAGGGAGATAAAATTGATGGGACCAAGCAAATTAACACTTTCTCAGAGATTTGGGAGAAGCCAGCTTGGAGTGGCAACACAGTCCAACAGAAACATAACATAGGATTGTATAAGAAGCACTATACGGAGCTTTCAGATTAGTGTTTTGTAGCAACATATGATGGATGGAGCAGTGAAAAATGGAAGCTTTAAAAGAATAATAAAGCAGATGGATGGGTCATACTGCTGAGACTGGAGGATTCCATCAGGTAGCAATGCATGGAGAAACAATAATGATGGGAGAGGGGAGAATATTGATTTGGCATGCTTCCAGTTAAGATGGAATTGCCCCCACCTCTTTCCATTACTATCACGCAGCATAGATTTTCTCAGCTCTTTGGACTTAGCTTCCAACTCTTGAACCTGCTCCAGCAAAGTTTTATGGTAGGTATGCTTGGCCCTGTATCACATGAGAAAAAGACACAAAACACACCAACACATCAGCTTTCATTGGTTGCAAAAGACTCAATTTTCCATGCAAAGTGAAACAGAAAAGGTATCTTTTCTGCAAAGCTGGCCTGATGTATTGTGGGTTATTCTAGGATCTCTTGCCAGGCTGTAGACGATGTGGGGCCCAAGCCATGGATTGATTTTATCAGATATTCTTAATAAGAGTAAAGGAACAATCTACATACACCTCATTCTCTCATGCTGTATGTGTACTTCGCGTAGCCATAACCTTTGAAAGTTTTGAACATATCAAGAAAGTTCAGTGATACAAAAAGCAAACATGAGAGAAATATCTGGCACAGTATACACAAAGAGACAGCAAAATAATTTGCTTTAATGGAGCACTCTTCTTCTATTTGGAAAATATTTGAAAAACCCACTATCCAACTGACAGGTAGGACTGCTGCTCTCATGGGTCTGCTCAACAGCAGGTCATTCGACTAAGGGAGAAGGAATTCATCATATATTCAGAGAAATAGAGAAAAAATCCACTCTGTCCTTTTAGCAGTATACTACAGGGCTTATCTTGGACTTTTTTGTAACCTTTTTAATGCACTGTAATCACTTTTACAACATTTGTTTTGTAGCTGCTGCAATTTCAATTCGCCTTAAAGCTGCATCAAATGGTCAGTGCAGATGGGACCCAAATCTCCTGCAGAAGGAAGTTTCATAAGTTGGAAGCAAGCACCAAGAGCCTCTCACCTGTATCCTTTGAAGCCCACTAAACCAAACATCCCCTCCCCCATCTTCAGCCCACTATAGTTCCTTCCCTACCTCCTTCCCCCTATCCCATTGTAGACCTTAGGGGTCTGCAAGCATAACAACATATTCTAGTGAGTATCCATAAGTACAACACTGTGTGCTATTGTTATGTACTGGCCAGATTATCTGAACACAAAAATATTTCCGTTCTAGTATATCACCTCTCATAATGGCAGGCACAGTATATATTGAACTACTTATGTTCATTTGAGTATTTCTTTCTTGCTTCAGAAGCCTGTCATCATCAGCCCTCATTTTGGAATAATATTAAGGATAGACTGCCTTCATCTCCCCTCAACAAATATACACCAGATATGGGCTAGTGGAAAAGATTGCAAAATAGCATGATTCTTTGCGACTATTTGCCTCTTTTTATGGATGCTCGCCTTCAATATGCGAAGTAAAACCTAGCTGGAGTTTCTCCACTCATCCACAAATACCAAAAATGGATTTCACTGGAAGAGGCTGAAGAAAACCCAGTCAATAAAATATCAGTTCATAAAACTTGACTAAATGGGTATCTCACCATAAGATGACAACATGATGGGTCATAATATTTGGGTATAATAATATATAATTTATATGCCTGACCCTTTTTATGCTGTATGTCTGTATGTCCTATCTTTGCTCTCTTCCTTCTTGTCAGTTTTATGTGTCCCCCCCCCCCCCAATTAACATTTGCATGGATCTTCGGGCATCTTCTAGAAAAGTAATCATGCTGCAAGTCAAGTAGGCAATGCCTTTGAAGTTAACAAGTTATGAAAGAGGGGTCTCCTCCTTTGTTCCCCAGTGCAATCTAGGTTCAGTCCAATCCAGCCCACTGTTGTGGCCTGGTCAAATTCTGAGTTTTCAGAAGATGAGGTAGGGGATGTTGGGAGAGATTCAGAGGGCACAGAGAGAAATGGTTTGGAATCTGCTGGCAGCAATGTTTTGGAATCTCTTGGTAGTTCCCAGGAGAATGGAGAAGGCCATTCCCATGGGAACCTGCCAGAAATGCAAACCAAGGGAACTGGGGAAGATGTGTGTCTGTCGATGTCAGGGAGATTCGTGTTAAGACAATAGGGATCTCAATTAAGGACTCGCTCCTCCAAGAGGCTCAGAGATATTGGGAGCAGGTGCAAAAGAAATGATCTCAAGGGAAGGATTCTGGCTTTTAAAACTGGTTCATGTTAATACAGTTCTTTGAGAGAGCAACGCTGCAATCAGGTCAAGAACTCTGTGTCATGGGCCTTGACACAGAGAGTTCTTCATGTAACCAAGTCTTCAAGTTGTTTTTGTGTTCTTGTCTCATGAGGCATAGTTTTGTCTGTCTTGCATTTATGTACTATGTCTTGAATTGCATAGTTTTGCCTGTCTTGGATCTATCTACCTTGTTTTTGGATATGTCACTAGAATTATGTTAGAGACTTTCTCTGAAGGGATTTTTGGACTTTTGGCTTTTACAGACATAACCTTTTAAATATTTTCTTGCTTTTCATATATCCAGCTTTTACTATACTCTGCTTTTAATAAACTCTTACATTGGATTATCTGGACAGTGTGTGGTTTGTGGTGGAAAGAGGCTTCAGGGCTCTAGTGTCTGTCTTCCGGCATGGAGCATGGCCTGCTTCTTGAGCCTATGCTCTATTTTATTTTTGGATTATAACTTTGATGTACTGCAACCAAGTTACCTGTACCTGTGTGATGCTTTTGCACAAGGTTATGTGAATAAACTGTTTTTTTAATTGTAGATGTGGCGTTTTTTGTTTTGGCACACAGAATTCATTTTGTCTATGTGCATACTTGATAAAGAGGGTGCTGTGATCAGCTACTTTGATAACTCTGCCTGTTTTCTTTTGAAGTGCAAGCTCTCCCAGCTTTATACGTCAGCTCATTCAGTTGTGTCTTGACACTGCTAATGTTATGCTAATTAAAGTTTAAACTTTTTGAAAAAAAATTGTTTTTTCTCTGGCCTAATAGCCTGAGACCTTTCACATTTTAGGGTAAACATCCAATAGAACTCTCTATCAAACAGGTCTCATATACACTGTCGAATTAATGCAGTTTGATGCCACTTCAACTTCTATGGCTCAGTGTTATGGAATCATGACAGTGCTAGTTTGGAGAGGCACCACAACACTTTGGCAGAAAATGCTAAAGACCCTGTAAAATGACAACTTTCATAAATCCGTAGCACTGAACCAATACAGTTAAAGTGGTGAAAGACTGCATTAATTCTACAGTGTAGATGCATCCACAATCCTTTCAAGTAGAACCAGGAAAAGCGATAGTACGCAAAGCATTATGCTTAACTAAAAACAACAACAAAAAAGCTACAAGTCTTATACTGAAACACATGAAATATAGTAAAGCTTTATATTTAGGACTTCATATGAATACTTTTCTGCTTGTGCAATAAAAGTAATACATATTAATTAGTATAAAGTATTATCATAGAGTTATTGGGATTTTTATAGCCCTATTAATGGGAATGTTATTTGCATCCATATTTTTTACAGTGCTGTTGTCAATTAAGAAAAAGGGCGTCACCCTTATACAGAGAAAGTTTTGCCAGAAAGGCAAAGAATCATTTTATTGTGTGTGATAGAGAAGCTAATGTGTACCTTCTGTCCATGTATATCATTATCTACAGTAATGCTGAAGTTTTCATTTTCAGAGGTTTTTTAAATAATATTAGTTGTTACAATCGACACAATGTTTAGTTCTTCCAACTTACGCTCTCCATGCCACATCTTTAACAAGGCACGCTGTGGGCACCAGCAATAAACCGAGCCAGAAGTATCCACAACTCAAGACCATGTCTGCCTGTCAAGAAGCAGCAATAAATATGGCATTAATTATCATCATATTACAGTTTGCAATAGTGATATTGGAAAGGGAAAGGTATGATCACAGCATTGCCAAAAAAGGAGAAAGATATAATACCATAAAGGAATATATAACATACTGTGTTGATCTAGTTTTTAAAAAAGGAGAATTGAATTAATAATTTTATTTTATTGTATTTACAACCAATTTTCCCCCAGTACTTGATAAAACTACATCTACTATAGTTCTAAAAGGACTAAAATTAAAAACATACAAAAGGTTATCATTATTAAAATGCAATAATAGTAACTATAATATTAAAAAAGATTTTAAAAAACAATTTTAAACACTTCCATTAAAAAAGAAATAAAGGTAGCTTTCCACAAGTCTATTGAAAATTCTTTTCCTAGCATAGTTGATTACTGAAAATCTGCCAAGAGGTCAAAATGAGTCACTGTAATATCAACAATGCTAGCAGATATTGATTAAGGCTCTAATCCAGGCACGGGCAAACTTGGACCCTCCTGGTGTTTTGGACTTCAACTCCCACAGTTCCTAGCAGTTTTGGAATTTAAGTCCAAAACACCTAGAGGACCTAATTTTGCCCATACTTGCTCTAGTTCTATCGTCCCCAGAAAGGAATATCTGAATAAATGCCATAGGTTTTTTGGCAATCCCATCCAAGTTTGCGAAGAGATCTTTTTCCCATTGAGGGACATCCGACTTTCAAATTATTCTTGTGAAGTTGTGGAGAGGTCTGCAGTAAACACCAATCCAGTATGAAAGCTATGATGTCAGACAGTTGTGTGGTGGAGAAATAAAAAGAAAAATATGTATTTTAAAGACATATGAGGCAAGGCCCCTAAACCTAACATGATCCTGGAACAGAAGAAAAATATATCAACCCTATAGCTAGCATAGTTCATTACCCCACCCCAATTTTGCAGCATCAATGGGCAAGGAATTGTGTAAACAAGTATGAAAAAGAAAAGAAGAAAATAATCATTCCTGCTACCTTTCCACCTGACTGAAGTGAGTTCAGCAATCTTTTGGGTAAGAGGGTTTCTCTGCGTTCGGATGTTCCCAGTCCCCACCAGTCACATTAATCTCTGACAATGTATTGCCCATCTTCCAACAGCAAGGGCCCCCAGCATTATTTATGTATGTGGCACTTTGATACTGTGACCATTAATTACTGTGGTACAAACCTTTGGGTTGTTTAATGACATTGTCCGTGGTTAATGAACCTCAATTGTCCAAACATAGTTCTTTAGGATTTTATAAGGAACCTTTAATTGATTACAGAAGTTGCTTGATATTGCTTTAGAGAAGATATGAACCCATCATACACTGTCATCAACCAATACCTTTTTCCACCAAACTTCCCCAGCAGTTTTTTTGGCTTCTCCAACACATATATGGTATTGATTTAAGTTTAATAATTGAACTGACAGCTGATGAGTCTTGATCATATGGTGGAATGCAAACTGTTAAAATCAGAATAGATTTTAAAAGCAAGCTTGGATTTCTATGGCTGACACAACTTATGGTATGGCAGCTCTACTCTGGGTGTCTTGCTGGTAGCTGTTTTACAATTTGTCTGTATTTAGCAACAAAGCTGTTGTAGCAGCACAAGTGCTAGACAGGTGGTTTTGAATTCATTGTCAATTCTTTGATGCTAAGTCTTTCACACTATTACTGGAATGCTGGAGTAATGGTAAGCTTTTACAGCAACTGAAAATAAGTGATTTATCAATATGTCAGGGCCCACTAGAAGAGTGTTTCTCAACCTTCCTAATGCTGCGACCCCTTAACACAGTTCCGCATGTTGTGGTGAATCCCTAACAGTAACATTATTTCTGTTGCTCCTTCATAACTGTCATTTTGCCACTGTTACAAATCGTCATGTAAATATCTGATATGCAGGATGTATTTTGTATTGTCAAAGGCTTTCATGGCCAGAATCACTGGGTTGTTGTAGGTTTTTTCGGGCTATATGGCCATGTTCTAAAGGCATTTTCTCCTGACGTTTCGCCTGCATCTATGGTAAGCATCCTCAGAGGTAGTGAGGTCTGTTGGAACTAGGAAAAAAGGTTTATATATCTAACCTACAACAACCCAGGATGTATTTTCATTCACTGGACCAAATTTGGCACAAATATCCAATACGCCCACATTTGAATACTGGTGGGGTTGGATGGGAATGATTTGGTCATTTGAGAGAAGTAATTGCTGGGATGTATAGTTCACCGAAAAAGAACCTTCTGAACTCCACCAATGATGGAATTGAACCACACTTGGTACACAGAACTCCAAGACCAACAGAAAATACTGGAAGGGTTTGCTGGGCATTGACCTTGAGTTTTGTAGTTGTAATTTACCTACATCCAGAGAGCACTGTGGGCTCAAACAATGAAGGATCTGGACCAAACTTGGCACGAATAATCTATATGCCCAAATGTGAACACTGGTGGAGTTTGGGGAAAACAGACCTTGACATTTGGTATTGTAGTTGCTGGGATTTATATTTTTTCTACAATCACAGAGCATTCTGAACCCCACCAAGGATAGAATTGTGCCTTTTTTTTTGTCGTGTCAGGAGCAGAAGCATCCTGTTGTGAGAGAATTGGCCGTCTGCAAGGACATTGCCATAGGGACGCCAGATGATTTTTGATGTTTTATCATCCTTGTGGGAGGCTTCTCTCATGTCCCCGCATGAGGAGCTGGAGCTGATAGAGGGAGCTCATCCGCCTCTCCCCGGATTCGAACCTGCGACCTGTTGGTCTTCAGTCCTGCCGGCACAGGGGTTTAACCTACAGCACCACCGGAGGCACCGAGAATTGGGCCAAACTTCCCACACAAACCCCCAATGACCAGTAGAAAATACTGTGTTTTCTGATGGTCTTTGTCGACACCTCTGACACCCCCTCATGATAAGGGTTCCGACCCCCGGGTTGAGGAACGCTGCACTAGAAGAATCATACAAATCCCAACTTTGGTAGCATGGCTCACATGGCACATATTCATCCCAAAGCTTTGAAAACTTACTTGTTGGGATGACAGCCCCCAGAATTCCCCAGCCAACATTGCCAATTTAACTGAATTGAAGTTAATTTGATTCTGCATTAGTTTGTCCTAATTTTATGTAAACTTCTATGAATCATTATAAGAGATTAAAAAATAGGACATGAATAATTTGCTCAATTGAATGAACAGGGTGCTTACTTGTAATTATGTAGGGTTTTTGTTTTTGAGTGGCCAACTAGGTTCCATCTAGGCCATCTAGGTTCCAACAGCTTGTTGGAAACCACTAGAGCTCAGGTGAAATGAGTTTTGGCAGTAGTCCTACCATGTTTTTCTAAGCTTAGCTTAGCTCTAGAAGTTTCCAACAGGTTATATACAGGTAGGTAACAATCCAGATGTGCGATCATGAAGAAGAATTAATATCTTTTTAATGCAAAGCCTACTCTTTACCTCAATGCAAAGCCCTATCCCATTGTGATGCCCTCTATCAGTCTTTTTACTGGATTCTCAAGTCTAACCACCCATGTTTCTCTTCTGTCTGTAAAGTTGGAAATTCATATTCTATAATGGAAGTAGGGGTTTCAGTATATGAGACCCTTAAACCAGGGATTTGAAACAGTGTCAAATATCTCGAAAGTTTGCCTTACTGAAAATCCTTGTAATGTGACCACTCAAAAATCCACATAAAGTAAAAGCACATAATGTGCACCACACAGCAGTTCCTCAGGTCTTAACTGAGGGGTTTTTTATGAGATCATCGGAGGGAAAAGCTAAAGTAACTTCATAGAAAAAGGTTGTCCACAGGCATGCTAGAAAGGAGCCCTACTGAACATAAAACAAAGATGTGTCATTTCTTAATAAGTTCCTCAACGGCTTTGAGTTTCATTCGGTTACCAATGAGCACATTGTCAGGACATCTGTTTTTATATATTAACGCACAGGAAAGAACAAGCTTGCTATAAAAACCCACCCATGAGAGACATAAAGTAATATCTCAAGGTTTTCTTTTCTCTTTTTAATTCTTTGGCTTAGACAATTATAAAGAAAGACAAAATCCAATAGGGATTTTGTTTTATTTCCCTTTCTAGCCCTTTCAGTTGTCCCAAAGATCTCTTTCCCATGCAGGTGTGGGTCATAGTTTACATTTCAGAAAGCTGAATAGGAAGTAAGGAGAATATACCTAATTCAGTTTTTCTAACCAATGGAGATAAACTTACAAATGGTTCACTTCCTGGTCAGACATACTGAAACTTTAAAAAAGAGTAAAGGTATAGGATGCCTGTGGAAATCTTGTAATTCTTTTCTTTGTGAGTAGTAAAGTTTGTTAAATGAATGATATTTTAGAAGTAGTTCCAAAAAAATGTATGTGCATCTATCTATTTAACTTAGATCTGTATCAGAGACCAGATGTGAAATACTGAAAAGGTCAAAAAGATACAGGGATTGATATAGAAATGTAGATCCAAAGATGCTGCTTTGCATGTAGAAGGCATTTTCCACTGGTGCTGGCAAGTAGAAATGCAATAGAAAAATTAAACTAATTAAAAATCTGCTTCTACAAGTGGAAGCGAGAGAATCACACAACATAAACATGAAGTAGTTATTTTCCTTTCAACGGTACTTTCAATTTAGTGTTTTTTCTTTAATCTACTATTCTGATGTTTAATACAATAAAATGTATAAAGTTAGTATTTGATTCCACCAAGATTCAGAAAAACCTATTGTACAAATGATATCCAGGGTTGTGTGAGTGGATGTCTAGTGAGATATGGAATTCCCCTTCCCATTATTGTTGTTCATTATTGTTCAGACAGGAGAACATGAAGACTGTAATCAGACCGTTCAGTTACAATTGGTGTGGCTACAGAGTATATTATAATTCATTGCAGGGAACACAATTTTGTACTTGTGAGTGGCCTTGCTAAACCTTACTGCAGAAACAAAATAATTCATTTTTAAAGCTATCTCTGGGG